TACATAAGAGCTGTCCTAAGCAGTTGTGATTACATTGATTACCTTAATTAGAGCCATATTGAATATGGGGGATTGTTATGAAGGCTAGTGTTTAAAGACTACAGGATGTCTATGCCCACGCTGAATACAGAATATGCCATGAGGAGAGTCTTAAATGCACATGACTAGTAACACTATGTGTATGCAACATTTGTACATATTTAGCGTCTTGATCGACCAACGTTATCAATCAGTAAAACATATAGCAGCAAGAATAACAATACGAGCCAGCAGCGTAGCTGGCCATAGGGTCATGTCCTCAGGTACTGCACGGAACGTACGCTGGCCTATTTGATATGGTTAGGGTTAGGGATAAGGTAGGGTTAGGTTAGGTAGGTTACGGTCGGGTTAGGGAGTAGGCTAGCGACCTCCCTAGACGTAGGGCCAGTAGAGTAGTGCGAGATACGGTCCGCATATAGATAGTCTAGATATGCGTACGCTTCCGTATAACCGAACGTACCCAGGGTACGGTTCCGGCAAGACCCCGGGGGACTAAGACCCTCATCAGCGTAAGCTGGTTTACATGCATGGAAAATCGCGGATTGACCAAGGTTCTGTCGTTCGATACAACCTTCTCTATCTAGATGTTCAAAGCCTGTTACGTTATCGACTCGCGGGTAAGCAAGACGTTCGAAATATGACCCACAGTAAGTCGCGCGAGGTGACGGAGATCGCATTTTTTGCCAGCGTATGCCAGCGTATGTGCGCCGATAGACAAAACTGCTCTCCCCTGGGTAAAGAAGACCTCTGCTGATAATGTGCTGGATCTCTGCAGGCAGCATGGCAAACAGAGGCTCAGAAGCGTCTGGGCTCAATCTGAGGTTGTTGCTTGACGTATATCAAACGTAAAGACTTCAGTCGTGCGTAAGTACGACATTATGTAGGAGGCAGATATTGCACGATCACGCAGTTGCGTACACAGCATCATTGTAGGACACGGCCCTGTGTGGCTCCCACTATCGCAGATGGAGGTAGGGGAGGTGGGGAGGGGTGTGGGAGGTGAGGAATCGCGTGGGGTGGAAAGTGGGGAGCGGGGATAGGTAGAGGGTTGGTTGGGAGGGGGGGCTCTAGATCGGGCAATAAGCAGGTTCACTTCCTTTTTAACAGTCAACAAATCCATGTTTAACCCTGTTCTGGAGGGTTGGTCAAAGTTTATCAGACACTATACTCTCAACGTCACGTGAAAAGCACGATTCATCGGTCCCTTTCAATAAAGCTCATAAAAATGGTAGGTCATGCGATGAGGTACAAAAAAGTTTTGACAATCGTCCCGTCAGAGACCATTGTTCCTTCAGAAAATGTATAAACATCCGCCGCCCTGGCCCCATTTGAACTCTTGACCTGAACACTCCCAATTTCGGCCATTGATCGTTTTTCCTAGGCCAGATCTATACCCACCGAGATCACGAGCTAAGTCGAGGCCGTTAGATTTGTGGCGCAATCTGCATTTCCTCATATACCCTTAAGTTAAGGGAAGTGAACCGTTCGTCCCTTCTTTACAACCTCTTGACCTTTGACCTTTGACCCGCCAGCTTCGACATCCAACTCCGTTTTCGGATTACCCCCCCACAAACTGCACTTTCGAATCACGTCGTCGAGCCGATTAGATTTGTCGCCCAACTTTGAAGACGGCGCAGCGGACGACGCACGACGACGTGATGACGACGCAACGCTCATGCGATTAACAAGTCGTGCATCTACTGATCAGAGAAGCCCTTTAAACATGGCATTCCCCACAGTGCCCGAGTTGCAAAATAGAACAGGTTTGAATCTCCAAAAAAGTTGCTAACAATTGTTGACCACAATTGCATTTTTGCATTGTTTGCATTGCACAATTGTTGACCACAAAAAAGTTGCCAACAATTGCACGCGCGACTTTTAGGAGAGGCGAGATTGGTAAAATTCGACAATTTTTCGGCATTATGTGGATAGTGTAAACCCAGCTGTAGGGTGTAGTGGCAACATATAGAAGGGAGTTGGGGGGTAAGGCGATATCAGCAACGGGGTGCAACGATCGCGATTATCGGTCCATTTATAAACAAAACGGTATATGCACAGAAAAAAGATAGCAACTTGCAATCATCTTGCATGTTGACGCCTGCACTAAAGGCGGGTTAACATTATCCTCTAGCGGCTTTCTAGACAAGAATTCGTTATATTAGGTTCTGGTTCTACGCTCCTTACCATTTGCAGGATGAATGTCATTGCTCCTAGCGTACGAACAGTCTTGTTAAATCGCAGCTCTAGATACTGGAACAAAACGCGCAAATGAGCCATGACTATAAGGCCGTATACAAAGAGAAGGCACACATGCACACGCACGCACGCACCGGTCTGACTGCGACGCAAGCACCGCAGCGCACGGAGCACGCACGCACGGCACGCAGCCACGGCTACTCGGCACATACATACATACATACCATATTCATACATACATACACTACATACATACATACAGTAGCATACATAACATACATACGATACATACAAACATAGCCATAACATAATCATACATACATAACATACCATAAATACATAACAGACATACATACATACATACATAACAATACCTACGAACATACATCATACACATAAGCATACATACATACTACATACACTTACATACATACATACCATACATACATACATACATACACTACCTACATACATACAGTAACGATAACACTACATAACAATACATCGACATACATAATACATACACTACATAACATACATCCTAATACTACAATATATACATACATACCATACATACATACATACATACTTTACATACATACAGTACCTACATAGCATACATACAAGTACATACCATACATACATACACAACATACTATACATACATACATACATAACATACATAACATACAATACATAACATACATACATACATACATACATACATTAACATCATACATACATACATAAATACATACATACATATCACATACTACATATGCATTGGACATACATACCTACATACATACAAACATATACATACACATACAACATACATATTACATACATCTACTATAACTACTAATCATTACATACAGTAACCATACATATCATACATAACATACAACATACATAACATACATACATACAAGCATACATACATAATACATACCTACATACAATACATACATACTACATACATAACATACACTCCATACATACATACATACATACATACATACATACATACATACATACATACAACATAACATACATAACATACCATACATATCATAGCCTACATATATTAAAACGATTTGGGGTGCCTGTCGAGTATCTGCACACTTATGCAATATATATGGGGGAGAAGAAATAAAATAGATAAATCCTACACGGTGTGTGACGTAAAGGCTTGCGCAACCTCGGCCGTCAGATATAGTACGCATGTGACGGAGAGGTTGACAACTTTAGCCTAAACACACGTGGTAACTTTGGAGAGCCTCATTGTGGCATCCTAAGCTTCCATCACACGTGTGCTACGTGCATCAATCGTGTGCTCTAATACAAAGGCACGCTGGCTGGGCTGGATAACAATTGCTAACGATACTCAAAGATAGTAGTCAACTATGAGAGAGAGAAAAAGAGAGAGATGAGAAGAAGAGAGAGAGAAGAGAGAGAGGAGAGAGAGGAAAGCAGACGTAGCGATATACGGGCGCCCGATCCAGCCGCCCCAGAGACTATAGATTCGTACCAATTCACGCATCGACTTCTAATTGTTACCGCCACGTTGTAGCACTTAAACCAGCTAGTAATTCATATTCTTAAATAGTTGGTGCCGTCAGATAACTGCGTGCGCAAAAGTCTACAGATAACGTGAACCGTTGGAGTTGAGCGGTCACACCGTGAATAGCGACGGTATCTTCGTGGATTATTAGTAATTGTGATTGCTGTGTCAGTCAAAGGTATTTTTTTAAATTATATTACCCAAGTGCTAGCATAATCCGTGTTGGCTGATTCGTCACTGTCGTGGTGATGTTATAGCGGAACGTGCACTGCGAGGCGAGTACAAAACCGGACGTGTCCACTCCTGTGGGACGATGACAGCTAATTGGATCATTGCAACCATCACAAAGTAAAAAACGCTAAAAATGCATAAACCATAACACACATACAACATACACACTATTACAACTACACAGGGTCCACCACACAACACACAGCCCCACACACAACACACACCAACCACCGCACACAACACACCCATGACGTGTACACACACAGCACACACACACACACACAACACACACACACAACAACACACAAACACATACAAGAGAGCGAGATAGAGAGAGAGAGGAGAGAGAGAGTGAGAGAGAAAGAGCGAACGAAAGAGAGAGAGAGAGAGAGGCGGAGGTGGGGGAACAACGACATCCTCAAAGCATGTGTACCTCGTAAGCACTCGTCACTTGCAATCCATGAAAGATTGGCACGAAGACGGAAGCAGTAATCGGATATGCGAGGATGATACAGAACGTGAAGAAGCAATACTGTGTGCCGTAGTAATACATCTCAGCCGGCTGGCCGAGCACCTGAATGCCCGACAGAAAGCTGGCACACATGGACAGCGCGACCGGTATGACTCCCATGTTCTTGCCGCCCATCAGGAACTCGTCTGTCGTCGTCTGCTTAGAGCCGATGCATCCGTGGTAGACGCCGATAGCAGCCGACAGCACGAGCGACAGCGCGAATACGATGTAGTCAATGTAGGAGAACGTTGTCGCCGTCGGCGTCGCCATCTCGTCGTGGTCGTCGTCGGAACTTCACTCCAGGCGGTTCGATTTCTACCAAAACGCTGCGCGGAGTAAATGAGTACACAAGATCTAATATATAATTCAATGTTTATTTATATAGATATAGATTGAATTATCGATTGATTAGTTAATTGCATGTTAGATAGATGGATTGATAATATATCGATTTACAATTAAACATCACCACATTACTTTACAAATATTTCAAAAAGAGAATGTAGAAGTGTGGGTTTATGCATATCGAGCCTGGGCCCCCCGCCTACACCTTCCTTTACCTACCTTAATCGCCTTCTTAAACTGTACCGACACTACATATACTAAGCAGAAGACGGCTGATGAGATGCTCTTACTTGACTCACGTGCGGCGACACACTTACGGGACTGACCGATCATGCTGACGCAGGTGCAACAGACATGCACCTGTTATCACTGCTAACGGCATATTTATCCGTATGGCGCTGACAAACAACGATAACGCTTGCGAAAACACAGCCCTACATATAATCTAATTGCTCAAACAAACACGCGAGTACACACTTGGAAATTATGAATAACACTAAAAAATATTAATTTAAATGTGCGGAATGAACGCTGATAACAATCAAGTGACATATACAGGTGACAGTGATAATAATGACTGATTATTCAGTCAATTGAGATATTGCAATTGTCATGTGCAAATGACAAATGACATATGCAAAAAAGTGACAAATGACAAACCACGTGCCTGAAATGAAATGGCGACCACAAACACGAAATTGCGTCCTGTGTTTATACCACGACCATCATGTCAACTCTTTGTTAAGCTCGGGTTGGCCTTCGCAGCGCTATAGGCGTCTTTCTTTGAGGATTGGATCACCCACCCCCTTCAATGTGGGGTTGTGCATCAGGGTCCACATATAGTTTCACCTCTTTTGGGAAGGACCCAATACACTCACTGATTTTTAAAGTCTTCCACACTTGTTCTACTTAATGGTGCTGTAACTTGGATGCGTTATCCAGCACAATGCGTGGTTAGCGTGTTGAGCTTTACGCGTTTAGCATAGCTGGGAAGCGTGGCGCGATGCTGCGAGCAAAGTGAAGCATGTAGATCAGATTTTACCATGCACACGTGCTGTCAGCCTGCCCGGCTCCACTTTGAACGTATAAGAACGGCCGAAGAATATTATCTTGGCAGTCAACGGCAACCGACGTCGCAGCGCCATTTGTCCATACATTATAGCATAGCTGGGAATCGTGGCGCGATGCTGCGAGCGAAGTGAAGCATGTAGATCAGATGTTACCATGCACACCTGCTGTCAGCCTGCCCGGCTCCACTTTGAACGTATAAGAACGGCCGAAGAATATTATCTTGGCAGTCCACGGCGACCGACGTCGCAACGCCATTTGCCCATACATTAGCATAGCTGGGAATCGTGGCGCGATGCTGCGAGCAGAAAAGTGAAGCATGTAGATCAGATTTTACCATTGCACACGCTCCGCTCGTCCAGCCGGCGCCGGCTCACTTTGACGTATAAGAACGGCCGAAAAAATTATCTTGCAGTCAACGGCGACCGACGTCGCCGCGCCATTTGCACCATACATTTGGAATTAGCTGGGAACCGTGGGACACGACTGTCTGCGAGCAAAGTGAAGCATGTAGATCAGTTTACCATGCACACGTGCCTTTCAGCCCGCCGGCTCCACTTTGAACGTATAAGAACGGCCGAGATAATTATCCTTGGCAGCAACGGCAACTGACTCGCAGCGCATTTGCCCATACATTTATAGCATAGCTGGGATCGTGGCGGCGATGCCTGGGCGAGCGAAGTGAAGCATGTAGATAGATGTTTACCATTGCACAACCTGCGTCAGCCCTGCCCGGCTCCACTTTGACTATAGAACGGCCGAAGAACTATTATCTGGCAGTCCAACGGCGACCGCGACGTCGCAACGCCATTGCCACATACAATTACAATGAGCTGGAAATCGTGGCGCGGATGCTGCGAGCGAAGTGAAGCATTGTAGATAGATTTTACGATGCACACGTCTTTCGCCCGCCCCGGCTCCACTTTGAACGTATATAGCAACGGCGGAAGAAAATTTATCTTGCAAGTCAAGGCACAACGGACGTCAACAGCAGCCATTCTGCCCATTACATATACAACTTCAAACAATAAGTGTCCAGAATTGAATCGTAAAGTGTCAACTTGTCTACACTTATAAGAGAGTTTGCAGTTAGAGACAGCACCGTAAGTGTAAATATTCAAGTGTTACGAATATTTTACACCAATGAAGGTGTTAGTAATATTAACACGCTCGTTGGTAAATATTAACTCGTTTTGGACTAAAACGCAGTATATGCTAGGTTTAATGTAAACCACTGACTTTACACGGGAGCGGCAGTAACCACACACGAATGTACAACCGTCATCCTATGCCTAACCCTAACCCAACCCTAACCCTAAGCCTAACTGTAAGTCACTAAACTCAAAACCGACTACGGCTATCTTATTATACGATGTCATAGTACCAAATCTGTAGTGCTAATGGTGTATACACGCTCTTGTGCTTCAATATTTTGCATCTGAACTGACAATCAAGTCCCCAAACCAACTGTTGTAGGCTAGCTGGCCCAAATAATGTTCATTTTCATACTTCAAATCACGAGTGTTTTCTAGCTCATCAAGAAAATCTTATCGTGAATTACAATCGTGAAATTTAATTTCAACCGGCAATTATTTTGGGGGAACAGCGGACGCATGCGCAAATAATAGACTGCCCTAACCCGTTAGCCTGCGAGACATTAAGATCGCGCTGCCGTTACCTTCCACCCTGCGCATGCTAAATACACTTTGAATGAACATAAGAACAATATGTAACTTTCGTGAAAGTAGAGCAGTAATGGAGCTCTTATAATAAGAGATTGGGGAGCCAGGCTTGACACATATAGTGTAAAGTTTTTGACACTAAAGAAAGCTGTCACTGTTTAAACACTTTATGATTACATACCTTGACATCCTGTATTAATTATTGAGTGATCGCTTCAATTGTTATTATAATATAAGTGTAACACTCGATAAGTGTAACTTAGGTTTTATACACTTTAGTTTTTGAGTGTAGCATAGCTGGGGAACTCGTGGCGAGATGCTGCGAGCGAAGTGAAGGCAGTGTAGATCAGGATTATTACTGATCGCACACGTTGCTGTCAGCGCGTGCTCGGCCTCCACTTTGAAACGTATAAGAAGCGGACAAGGATATTATCTTGCAGTCCAACAGTGCGATCGACGTCGCAGGCGCATTTTGCCCATACATTAGCATAGCTGGGAATCGTGGCACGATGCTGCGAGCGAAGTGAAGCATGTAGATCCGATTTTACCATGCACACGCTGCTGACAGCCTGCCGGCTGCACTTTGCAACGTATAAGAAGGCGCGAAGAATATTATCTTGGCAGTCAACGGCTACAGGCGCCATGCAGGACAGGGCTCAATTTTGTCTAACAAAACTCAATTCTGTCTCACAAAACTCACTTTTGTGCACACAACTCAATTCTGTCTCACAAAGTCAATTTTGTGAACACAAAACTCAATTCTGTCAATCCTGTCCACAAAACTCTAATTTTGTAACACAAACTCAATTCTGTCAATTCTGTCTCACAAAAGTCAATTTGTGAACACAAAACTCAATTCTGTCAATCCTGTCCACAAAACCATTTGTGAACACAAAACTCAATTCTGTCAATCCTGTCCCACAAAACTCAATTTTGTGAACACAAAACTCAATTCTGTCAATTCTGTCCCACAAAACTCAATTTTTGTAAACACAAAACTCAATTCTGTCGAACCGGTTCACAAAACTCGATTTTGTTGCCCAAATATGGCACACGCATGTAAGAAGGGCTACCATTGGTCAGAAGAAACAAGATGGCGACCATGACACATTTCTCACCACCAGTTTCTGACCAATGGTAGCCCTTCTTACATGCGTGTGCCATATTGGGGCACAAAATCGGAGTTTTGTGGAACGCGTTAACAGAATTGAGTTTTGTGTTTAGCAAAAATTGTTTTGTGGAAGCCGGTTACGACAGAATTGAGTTTTGTGTTTACAAAATTGAGTTTTTGGTACAGGATTGACAGAATTGAGTTTTGTGTTCACAAATTGAGTGTTTGTGGGACAGGATTGACAGAATTGAGTTTGTGTTCACAAAATTGAGTTTTGTGGGACAGGATTGACAGAATTGAGTTTTGTGTTCACAAAACTCATTTTTGTCAAGTTTATAGGTACAAAAATGCCTGTCCTGCATGGCGCCCGGCCGCGTACCGGCGACCGACGTCGCAGCGCCATTTGCGATACATTAGCATAGCTGGGAATCGTGGGCGCGATGCTGCGAGCGAAGTGAAGCATGTAGATCAGATGTTACCATGCACACCTGCTGTCAGCCTGCCCGGCTCACTTTGAACGTATGAGAACGGCCGAAGAATATTATCTTGGCAGTCCACGGCGACCGACGTCGCAACGCCATTTGCCCATACATTAGCATAGCTGGGAATCGTGGGCGCGATGCTGCGAGCGAAGTGAAGCATGTAGATCAGATTTTACCATGCACACGTGCTTTTCAGCCCGCCGGCTCCACTTTGAACGTATAAGAAGCCGGCCGAAGAATATTATCTTGGCACAACGGCAACGCGACGTCGCAGCGCCATCTGCCCATACATTAAACTCAAACAATAAAGTGTCAGAAATTGAATCGTAAAGTGTCAATTGGTCTACACTATAAAGAGTTCAGTTAAGAGGAAGCACCTTAAGTGTAAATTTGCAAGTGTTAGAATATTTTACACCAATGAAGTGTAGTAATATTAACACCTCGTTGGTAAATATTAACTTGTTTTGGACTAAAACGAGTAAGTACTGTAGTGTTAAATGTAAACACTGACTTTACACGGTACGGCAGTACCACACACGGCCGAAGAATATTATCTTGGCAGTCAACGCTACAGGGCGCCATGGCAGCGACAGGGCTCAATTTGTCTAA